CATTGAGTAACTTTAGAGTCCCTGGAATGTGCATACATATTAAGTGGGTATCACTGTTTGCATCCTAGCAGGAAAACGAAGAGATAAAAATCAATTCTAATGAATTCTAATTAACCCAGTGAACTCTCCGTAGGGGTTGAAGTATGAAGAAAGAGCCTCAAGGCAGCTGTAAATAGAGCAATAGGTCACGGAAAGCTCATCTACTGAAATCCAGTGAATTAGTTATATTAGCCCAGCAAAAGGATTATGATTTTGAAAACAAGATGTTTGTCACCACTCTTCATTAGGAAATAGAGTAGATGGCTTCGCTCACACAGAAACACAGACTTTTCTATCTTATATTCAGGTTCAACCTTAATTATATTTGGATCGTGTTGTAAGAAGCAACTTTGAGATGACCTTGGCAGCCCCATTCTTCAGATAAAGTTTGCACTAAACAAAATCCAACGAAGTCGGACGCTGTGGCGATTTTAATCAGAAAAGCAGTCAGTGGGAGTGCTGGACCCTTTCTTTCCCCAATACTCTCCTGTTCCCATTCTTTCTCTCTAGCCTATTTTCGCCTACTAAAGACTCTGAGAGCTGGGGGACAGGAAGGGAGCGAGAAAGAAGTTGGGAGGATATTGCAGGAAAAGGAACCAAAGGGGCTTAGCAAAGCTTTCCGCTTGAAATCTCTCCCAACCGCTACTTCGCAGCAGCAAAGCCACATTTGAAAACAAAGATCTGCTACTCTCACATCTCCTTTTGACACTTCTTATTTCTTCTTTGGTGATCATTAGTAGCCGAGTAAGATTGTCTTCCATAAACATGGTTTGAACAATGAGTCTGTAAGTGACTGTGGAGGCCAATTCTGGATCCACACATCCTTCCACAGTGGGGACATTGGTTCATGGGTGGGCGTTGATCATGGTGTGGATTTGCCAGACGTGCCTTCCTCTTAGCACATTTCTCCCTTGCATCCTGAGTTCGAGTGTCTTCAAAGTCCATGACACCTTTGGTAAAGGATGTTCTCCAACTGGAGTGCTAGCAGGCCCGTGTTTCCCCGTTGTTGGTGTTTATACTACTTTTTTTAAGATTTGCCTTGAGACAGTCTTTAAACCTCTTTTGCTGAACACCAGCAAACTCCAGCGATTTCCATTTTTAAGTTCAAAATAGAGTAGTTGCTTTGGATGATGATAATCAGGCATCCGCACAAGCCCAGTCCAACAAAGTTGATGTTGAAGAATCATTGCTTCAACACTGGTGATTTTTGCTTCATCCAGTACACTGATATTAGTTCGCCTGTCTTCCCAAGTGATGTGTAAGATTTTTCAGAGACACTGTTGATGGAATCTTTCGAGAAGTTGGAGATGGCGTTTGTAAGTGTTCCATGTTTCACAAGCATACAATAAGGTTGGTAGTACAATAGCTTTGTAAACAAGCATTTTGGTTTCCCTGCGAATGTCCCAGTCCTCAAACACTCTGCACTTCAATCGGGAGAAAGCCGCACTCGCAGAGCTCAGGCAATGCTGGATGTTGGCATCACTGGTGACTTAATAGTGCAACTGTACATGTTTGCTCAGAAGTAATCCCTCCTCCAATTCTTTGTGCCTTATTTCCATGTGTGTGTATGTGTGTGTGAAACTATACCATTCACTATTCCATTATTATATCCATCAAAACTTATTTACACTGTTGAGTTTATCTTAATGCTGCCAACGTTTTCAAGTGTAAACAGTCTCCCCCCACCATATACTGAATAAACATTTTGCAATCTTCTTTAAATGTTGTTCTTGTTCTCTTATTCTATATGTTAGGTCCTCAAGCTGCGCATATTCCATCAGTTTAAGTTGCCATTCTTCTTAGTTGGGACCTCGCTCGCTTTCCATTTTTGGGCTAACGAAACACGGACAAAGTAGTGGCATACATAAATAACCTTTTTTGACACCTGGGAATTTCCATCTGAATTATCGCCAACAAAAAGGACTCTGGTGTTTTTTGTTTTTGTTTTTTTAAAGTGCTTTAAAACATTTTTTTCAATTCATTATAAATTATTTCCCAATACTCTTTTATCCTTCTACAAGTACAAATAGTGCCTTATTTCCTAGGAAGTATGCTTAGGATTATAGTTCCAGTTTTCAGAAAACTCTGTCCAATGAGGGTAGCTGTTTACAGCGGCATAAAGACATTGCGTTCACTCAGCTACATATATGACAAATGGATCCTACCTTGCAGGATTTTTCTAAGTAATAGAATAACAAATCAGGAGGGGTGTGCGAATGCAAGCATAACTTCTGCTTTTTGTGAGCAAGTAAAGATGAAAGCTGCCCTGAATTCATTACACTCCGTAGAGTCTTTCATCTCTTCAGGTACACTTTTTCTTCTAGCTCCTTTTAAAATTTGGATTTTTAAAGGTTTGTTTAATCACAAACTGACAGGTTTCTGCTCCGTATCAGTGTAAACATAGCAACATGAACTCCAGAACTGATCTAGTGATGTTTTAACAAGGGAAGATTAGGGTATTGCCTGTAACATTCAGTGGCATTCTTCATCAGCTGGATTGAAAAGATTGCTCGGTCTTAAATTATCACTCCCTCATGCCTTACTTCCTGCTGAAAGCATGATTTGCTAATCCCGTAACATTCCTGGATTTAGGGTGTGTAAATGCCAGGCTCCTTATAGACTATTTCCACTAGTAGGAATTTGGGCTCTAAAGTTTCTTTGCTCAATTACAAATAGAACACGTCTTCTGCAACAGTTCTATTTTGATTTGAATCCTGCATAATGCTTGTGAGTTGGTTCCACCGTATCATCTGGAAACTGCAGTGAAGGTTCATTCTTTGAACACCTGTATCCAATTCTATTATATAGGCGGAAAGAGGCACTATTTTTGAACATGAGCTAGATGACAAAAATATGCCAACAATTCACAACCGTGACACCTCAAGTTCTGAGGAATCGCATGATAAAAAGTAACAACTTACAGCCGTACCTTGGTTCTTAAACGGAATCCGTTCCGGGAGTCTGTTCGACTTCTGAAAATGTTCAAAACCACGGAGCTTCCGATTGGGTGCAGGAGCTCTGCACCCAATCGAAGCTGAAGCAGCATCGGATGTTTGGCTTCCAAAAAATGTCCGCAAACCGGAACACTCACTTCCGAGTTTGCGGCGTTCAGGAGCCAAAATGTTTGAGTCACAATGTACGACTGTACTCCTTATGTGACTATCCCAGATTCATTGAACTGTATACCTTCATTTTACTGGGCAAATCTATGCTTCTAGTGAAGTTTTAGCTATACTTTTCAAGTTTATACATTTCATTAGTTTTACAACCAATTTAACATTTCAAAGTTTGACCTCCTGCCCCCTTTTTCTGCGGTTCCTTAAATTTAATTTTTAATATCTTCTGCATATCCAAATTCATTTAATTTGCTCATGTAATTATCTACTTTAAATATATACTCTTATGAAACTGCAGGTTATTACCATAATCCTCCCATTGTTTTTATCTGTTTGCAATTTATCTGTAAATATTCAATAAACTGTTTCCATTCTTTTATAAAAAAATTTGTTATCATGATTTCTTATTCTTCTGGTAAGTTTTGCCATTTCTGCATCTTCCATAAGTTTTCGTATTCATTCTTTCTTTGCTGGGAACAGAGCTTTTTTTCAGCCAGAATTGGCCAGAACTGAGTTCTTTTACCTTTTAGGTGGGCACCATTGCCATCCTAAGAGAACAAGAGAGGCTTTTCTCGTGAGTTCCAGCACCTCTTTTTCTAGAAAAATAGCACTTGTTGAAACCAAATTACTTGTCATTGGGCCACACTGGTCTTTTTCTAAGTTTCCATAATGGGAACATTTATATGGCAAAACCGTAACAATCAAAAAACAAACACAACTGCCCCCATTTTGGTTTCTCAAATGTGCTGTTTCACAAACAGACGAAATTGTACAGGCATCCTGACGAATTGTTCTCTGAGCATTTCCTTTGGGTATACAAGGAATGCTGACTATTCTTGAAGCTGGGAGTTGTACAAAAGATCCTTCGCAGGTTGCACCGTCAGCTGAAATGTTTGAACTGAGCAGCTGCTTATCTTGTGAATGGAATTTCCTGTTAGTACACTTTTCGGCCCTGGTCTTCAGAAAAAAAGAACGGCAAATGTCAAGAAGCCTTGCCAATGGATCATGCCCAAATATCTTCGTGACGAGGGATATTTCACTTTCTTAAAACTGTATATTCTTCTGTCTGAATAGGGGAACCATTTCAGATTGAGGGGTGGGAGCAGGCATAAAAGATTTCAGATAGAGGGGCAAAACGCCAAACAAGCTTTGGAAGCCTAATCTTGGATATATTCCCAATGAAATTTGCAAAAACCCCAAAATGCTGCATTTGAAGAGCATTCACAGCTGCTGCTTCTTTATACTTTACATACTATAACTGTAGTAAAGTTATTAACAAATATTATCCATTTTGCTTTAATTTTAGAAAGGATTTCTGTCTTTGGCATGCCTAAATCCCCACTCAGCCATGAAGCTCACTGACTTTTGGTTAGTCACTCACTCTCAGCCTAACTTACCTCACTGACTGGCCACAGCTCTCCAAGATTCCAGGGTTTTATCCCAGCAAGATTTTCTCCTGGAGATTTTCTACATGGAAAGCAGATGATCTGCCTCTGAACTACAAACTTTCCACTGAATTTAGAGCAACTAGTTTAAAACACAGCTATGTTTTTCTTTTTCTCAGTTTCAATCAAATCTGGTTTAGGGAAAAACACATTAAGATGCAGTATTTCCTAAGAAGCAACAGGAGAGATATGGATTGTGGCTAATATTGTGTGCACACTGCTTCTCAAACCAGCAGTGGGGGTACATTGGATGCAGAGTAAACAGGAGTGTGTAATTCAGCTTAAAATGGGACAAACCATTCTTGGACAGCTTCGTAGTGTCAGCAGACCTTGCAGCTTGTGTGAATCAGATTGGAATAATTTCTGGAGTTCAAAGGCTTTATTCATGCAGGAACTATTTACGGGGTGGGTGGAGATGAGAGAAAATAGAAGACATCTTGTCTGTAGAGAAGAACAAACCAAATGGCTCAGCTTTTAAGGGTGGGGTTACAAGAAACATTGATACACAAACAGTGCCCTCTCATGGTTTAAGTAACACATGCCTTAACTATGAACTCAAGAAAAGGAAATGTAGTTTTCTCCAACACATAGGCATGCAGTCTAATCCATATGTTTGTGTTCTGAGCAGAGCATAATCCATTGGCTGCAGACTGGGAAGGTTTGCTCCAGATTGTGGAATGAGCTGAAATCTTTCCCCAGCCTGCTGAGGATGCTATAACCTTCCAAAATGAGAGTCTGTGTGCATGCATATGTATATGTTTACTTATAATACAAAAAATGGTCTTGATCATATCACTTGCTTTAGACTTCTCCATGGAATCCTTAATGAGTGGCATGCCCAACCTTTACCTTATATAGGCACGAAGTGTAGCTATTATAGGCCCCTTACTTTCTTAGAAATGGACAGCTGGTGATACATATCATGACATTCATTGCAAGACAGAAGTCCCTTTTTTAATATGCCCATTTGCAAAAAACAAACAAACTTCTGTACCTAAAAATATCAAATGAAATCAAATCTCTCTTAGTCAAAGGGGTAAAATTTCAAAGCAAGACAAAAGAATCAAGGAGTGACTGCATTTCAAGAATCCTCCATGTAAGAATTTGTTGTCATCTGTCACTCTGCAACAGTGTCTGTTTCCAGAAGCTGGCATCTCAGCTGCTATGCCACTCCTTGAAAACCACTCCACCCATAGAAATCTGAGTGTTGCATCGGGAGAGCTTCAGATAGCAGGTGCATTACTGCACTGATTGTGCAAATGTCTCCTATGGAGCACTCAAGTTTTTCCCCCCAGTGGCTGTTATTTATTGGTGCTTTAAAGGAAAGCACTGACGTTTCATTATGGCCCTTAATACAGTATGATTGCATCTTGCACAAGGTTTATGCTTTGGGGGTGGTGCATATACGCAAAACCGTGTATACACAACCTGCCCCCCATGGAACTACCCTGCTCAAGCAAACTTTTCTTCCAGAGCAGGCATGCTAAGAGAGCCTTAATCCTCCCCACCAAACAAGCTGGGAGCTTTTAAGCTTTCTTCCTTGCTTTTGGGCAAGTCCTGCTCAGTGTGTGGGCTCTGGGGGCGCTCTCGCAAAACCTTGAAGGGCTGTCTGAATTCCCGTAAGATCTCACCAGAGCACCCCAGAGCCTAGGAAGCGAGCCAGAGAGCTTCAAAGCTCTTTCCACGCCAGGAAAGCCCAGCGCAAAGGAGCAGTTGATTTGGGCAATTTTGACAGCTTTCAGACACGCATGGTTGAAATCGGGTCATAGAATGGCATCCAACGTAGGATTTCTAGAATTCCAAAAGGGTCCGATCCACAACAGCTGTGTCATAGCCACTGGTGCAGGTGGAAGACAATAACTTGCTCACCAGTCCTCTGTCTCTTGGCTACTCCTAGGTGAGCAGCTGTCGAGGCAGTTGCTGCAACGGAGAGGTCCCACCCTGGACTCGGCTTATGTATCTCCACTATCTGAGCTGTGTGCAAGCAGGCGCAGACTACATCTGAGTGTAACCTCTTCCTGCTCCTCCCTCTTCAATCCTCTTCTTGACCTGGGAGACAGAAGCAGGGGGCAGGAGGGGGAGGTGTGGAAGTCCTTGACCCAACACAGCCTGCCGTATCCCTCCCTCCTCCACCACCTGTTCTTCACTTTCTGAATGGCCGCCAAGACTGTACAACACCGGTCCTGAAAGACCTACATTGGCTCCCAGTACGTTTCCGAGCACAATTCAAAGTGTTGACATTGACCTTTAAAATCCTAAATGACCTTGGCCCGGTATACCTGAAGGAGCGTCTCCACCCCCATCGTTCAGCCCGGACACTGAGGTCCAGCTCTGAGGGCCTTCTGGCGGTTCTCTCAGTGCAAGAAGTGAGGTTACAGGGAACCAGGCAGAGGGCCTTCTCGGTAGTGGCGCCCACCCTGTTGAACGCCCTCCCAGCAGATGTCAAGGAAATAAACACCTATCTGACTTTTAGAAGACATCTGAAGGCAGCGCTGTTTAGGGGAGTTTTTAATGTTTGATTGGCAGTGTATAAATGATGATGATGATGATGATGATGATGATTTTCTATCCTGCATCATCTCCTGCCTCTGACTGTCATCTCCTGGCTGTTACAGGCTCCCCCAGATCACTGCTCCTTTCTTCCAAGTCAGTCTTGCAACTCTACTTCTGCCCAGCCACCACTGCTCAGTGTCCAAACAGTCCCCGATATCCCTCTGTTGGAGGCAATATTCCACTTGCTGGAATTTTAATTGAGGAGTATGCTCATGATCCCCGCGGGGGCTTCCTAAATGCACCCGCTTGGCCACTGGGAGAGCAGGATTCAAAAGCAGGTGTGTTTTAGGTCCGATCTTGCCAGGCTCTTTTTATAGACTTAGGTTTAAAAGTGTCAAACTCCAAACAGTATAGAATGTCAGTTGTAATTCCCTTTGCCGCTTAACTGCAGGTGAATGATGACTCGGTAATGCTTGGAGACATTAATCGGGAGGAAGCAGCCAAAAAGCCAAGGTATTTTAAAATTCACTGCATGAATATCTGGTCATTTCTTAGATTTGGATTATTTCTATATCGGGGTGCCTGGGCAGTGAAAGATTTCACTTGCAAAAACTGCATTCTGCATTTTTGGAAATGTGTGTCAAATTGAAAGGGCCAACTGGCAAATCTGGCAGCCGTAGAAGAAAGCTCTTTTGTATTCACAACTAGGAAGAGGAGAAATGAATGCAAGTTATGTTGAAATGGGAATTCTAGCATTGGCTTCGTCCTCATATGAGAAGCACAGTCTGAATCTGCTTCAGTGATCTGAGTGTTCCACCTTGTGGTCAAGTCATTGAACTAGAAGTGATTCAGGAAAAACTGACAGAAAAGATCAGTGTGCAATAAATTGAAGCTTATTTTCCTTCCCATGGTTTTCCAGTATCCAGTGAGCCTGGGAGGTTCATAACATGAGCCTGGATTTGAACCCTGCTATACTCAAAGCGAGTCCAAAATTCCATGCATTGGATCAAAGTGGCTCTTTGCAGAAGCCAAGAAAATGATGCAGCACAGTATTTTTCAAAGTATGGGCTAGGGATGACCACTAGGCATTGATGCCACAGGTCTATCTTCTGGTTGCACTGAAGACTTTCAGATAGGCCAGTGCCAGTAACAACTTCCCACATGTTGGCTAGAGCAAGAGAGTGGGTCAGAGCAAGGGTCCATTTGGGTGGTGAAAACACCACGCTTCATGGTAGGCCATAAAACGAGCCCTCGGTGCCCTGACCCACGGGTCACGTTTTTATCAAAAAATCTGACGTCCGATTCACTTGAAAATGGTGCCCATCCCCTGCAAATTGCCTGCTGCAAAGTCGTCCGATTCACTTGAAAAGGGTGCCAACACCTGCAAATTGCCCACTGCAAAGTTTGGCGGTACAAGCAGCGCATTCCACAGTAGGTGGAAGGCAATACGGGGAAAAATTGTGCTGTTGCTGTGACTTCATAGCTAGAAAACTCTCTTTTTGCCTCTTACGTGACAACTCAGCAGAGTTTGTTTGCACATTGGGAGAAACATATTGATGGTAGAGCCGTTTAAGAATGGAACCATTTTGGAACCAATGATTCTGCCATCTTGGCCTCACCACCAAGAAGGGTCTATCTCTTGTAAGCTTGTCCTAAGACATGGACGGTCATGTAATATCTCTCATTTATGTCTCGTAGCCAAGGAGTAATTATCACTTTGTTAGCATGGCATCTAGTATACCCTGCTTCTTTACATTTCCAACACTTACTAGATCCTGTTCTATACATTTTTGCTAATTTAACCAGATACCACCAATGCATCATTTTCATATAATTCTCTTTTAGTAGGGTTGTATGCAACAATTCATAAAATATTGCATGTCAATAAAAAGGTCATAAATGCAACAATGTGAATAAAATATGTATTTTTTTAAAAAAATAATTATAATATAATGATGAGAGTTCATATTCAACAAAACTGGAAATTCATAGGAACTCTCTGATAGCCTTAGAGTAACTGAAAGAGAACTGAAACTGACAGAGCCTTCCATCCCTGCCTCTGACTGCAGTTTTTCCACATAGGAATTTGTTTTCACAGAAAATCCATTCCTGGCCTTCCCTACAGTTTGCTTTACTTTTTCTTTACTTTTTCAATGTAATTTGAAATTGGTGTGTGGGATGGGGAGTTGCTGCTATTGTTACGCAGACTCTATCATGTGCCAGCCCTCCAATACCTAAGCCAAATCCAACCTACCTCTGGAATCAAGAGTTGGTGGGGCCAACCATGGTCCGCACCACAGTGAATAGGAAAAGACCAAGGAGCCACAGAGTGGACATGGTCATCTATTTAAAAAAGAAGAGCAGATGAAGATTGCTCTTAGACAGAAGGCATAGTCAACAACTTGATCAGTGAGCTCCACCTGACAAACCACTTATTGGGCATGCATCTTGATTTGCTTGCTTATGCAGAAGTTAAGCAAGGTGGATGACAGAGCACTTTAATCCACTTTAACTGCACCATCCTAAATCTCCAGTGTACACTGCAATCCCTCCCACAAAATACTAACAAGGAAGTGGCCGCTTCCACTTAGATCAGGCTTTCTTTCTGGCTTTTCTTTCACGCTCTCCATGACCAGCTTGACAGGTCCTGGTGGATCCTGTAGGGATTTGACAAAGGAGGTATTTGCCAGGTTCAGGGTATGGAGAGCCGAAAGGGGAGCGTCCAGGGCTGGCATTGCCTCGGCAAGGTCTCCCTCGCACTCCTCCTGTAATCATATCAAATATACCACATTGTCAGGATGAACAGTCCAGTGAAACAATAACTTTCCAAGAACCACCCTTTCCTTTCTTATTCCAGGTGCTGTCACTGGATGTGCCTTCAGTGGAATTGATTGAGGGCCCTGTCGGTGGCAGTTCCCCACCTGTCAAATGCACTCCCTGGTGCAACGGGAACGTGGTCACCCAGTAAGTTTTAGAACTCAGTGGGGATTTGATAACCCTGGTCTCCTCTGGCCTAACACTCTAACTCATTCTCATCCTCTCCCTTTCTTTGCTTGCTTGTGTTGATGGGGAGAGAGAGAGGGGTAGAGGGAGTTATTTTTTGTCTTTGGAAGATAAATGCATCAATATTCTTCCTAGATGACTTAAATATGTCTGCCAAGGAGGTATATGGAGCCTAGCCTTCTACAGAATTCCTTAGGCAATGGATTGATCACAGCAACTGGTATGACAAGAAGGACACCTCAAGGCTTGCTATTGTTGATGTTCTGTTCCTTTCAGCAAAGGGGCCTCCGGGAGGTGGAAGGAATGATATTACCTGCATGATGTCAGATTAAATGCAATAGGACAGTCTTTCTCAACTTTGGGTCCCCAATGTTGTTGGACTACAACTCCCATCATCCCTAACTAGAAGGACCAGGTCAGGGATGGTGGGAGTTGTAGACCTACAACATCTGGGGACCCAAGGTTGAGAAGGGCTGCAAAAGGGCACCATCCTTCCCTCTAATGTTAGGATTTTAGCTAAGAAAGAGCCATGGAGAAAGAAGAAAATCTAAATGCAATGGGGGAAATGTACAAACACAAAAGCTGGTGCCATAAGAACTGGATATGCTTATTACCCAGGGAATACTTATAATTAATTAGGGTGGGGAGGTGGAAAACATGGAGGAAGGAGGGGGTCACCCTGACTGGAAACTTTACCAAGAGCACTCCTATTAGAAGGTGAGGGTGCCCAACATCTTTCCTCCTCTAATTTTGGACTTAGATAGTTGCATGTCAATCAGTCTGAAAGAAATATGGATCAGCCTACAAATGGTAGCTCTGTGAGGGATCTCCTAACAACTTTCAACACCTGTAACAAACTACAGTTCCGAGGATTCTTTGGGGAGGAAGCCAGGGCAATTTAAAGTGGCATAATAGCACCTTAAATGTATGGTGTAGACGTGACCTTGCCGCTTTCACCAGCAGTTTCAACTATCTGCCTGGGGTCACCAGAAGGAATGGCAAAGCTGCACTGAGACTTACTCTGCCTTCCTTTGTGTCTCACAGGGCGTTTCACAAGGCACCTGGCCATTGTTTCCATCAGTGCCTTTGATGATCAAACTTTAGATTTGAGATTTGAGGCCACTATTCTGAGGCCACTATTCTGAGGAATGTGCTTCTCTTCAAGAGAGCACATGTTGTGGTATTTATATGTGCAGAAGCTGCCCCAGGAGTTTAAACATAACACATAACTTTCTTTGGTACGATAAAACATACAGTGCTTTTTTCCGGGGGGGGGATGTTTAGGGGTACTCTCATTTTGACTCAAGGAAATCACCATTTTATACTTGAAATTGGGGAAAATAAATACAATAAATGGACAAAAGTACAAAGAACACGCACTACCTCATGCTAGATTCCAACTTCTACTTCACACATTAAATGCTTGTTCAGTCTGAGACTCAGGAAATGAGGCCGCCATCGGGGGTAGCAACAGAATTGAGGATTCACCGTGCTAGAGAAGAAAATAAAAAGTTTAAAATGTTTAGTTTCTTCCGTTTGATTCACAAAATGTTTAGAGGTGTGAGTACCCCTGCGTCCCCCCAGAAAAAAAGCACTGAAAATACACACACACACACACACACACACACACACGAGAAACTGGCAGACTTACGAGATTTTACCTACTTATTCTGAGGCACATAGCACTTTAAAACAAACGCACAGTAAAACTCCCTCTCTCACTCTCTGCACTTGATAACAGACCTAACTGAAAAAAACTGCCTGCTGTGATGACATCCTAGAATTCCAGACCACATCAACTCTTTCCATAATGCATTTTCTCCAACCACAACTAGCCACTATCTACCAAGGACACTGCTCTTGCTGTAGAATCCTTTACTGTTGTGTGTTTATCTGAAGTGACACTTGATTTAGGATCAGGAGGCTGATAAAAAACCTCCATTGTTAGCAAAAAAGGAAGTTGTTGTTGGTCCATCTAACTTAGCACTGTCTGCACTGACTGGTAGAAGCTCTCCAGGGTTTCAGGTGTTGGAGATGCCAGGGACTAAAATGTAAAGCCACATGCTCTGCCATTGAATTATGAATGGGGATGGGGGAGAAATAATGAGCAGTATCCAATTAAACCATTGTCTCAGTACAAGGATTTCTGCTTGTGCAATGGAATTCCCCCTAGATATGTTGCTCCAACCCTTTGGAGCAGATTTGGGGAGAGTTTGGGATAGATGCCTGGAAGGAGGACTTGTGCAAAAGGAAATCCTTTGCACTTTCCCAATCTTAACATTGAAGTTCGCTGGCCAGGCTACATATGCAAAATGAGCACTCACACTTTACATTGTGGGTGCCCTTTGCGGGATCATGCATGGTGCTGCAGTTCCCAGGGAGCTTACTGGCAAACAGGGGCAGGCTTGCCTCTCAGTGTTAATTTTTGGAGGTCCACGCCCAGCCTGGATTGCAGCGAGAGGGCTGTGGCCTAGTGAAGCCTCCCTTTGTTCCAGGGCAGCCGCTGTTGGGGTGCTATTCCCAGCGCATGGTATTTGCCCAATTTTTTGCTGGGCCCTCTGTGGGACCGGGGGTTGGTCTAGATGACCTCTGGGGTCCCCTTGCCATTTGGATTTGTCTACCTGCCATTTCTAGCCCTGTGCATTGGCTTGCTAGCATTCATGTCATTTCATTCTCTCTTGTTTCTGGCCTGCTCTAGTCTCGCAGCCTGGGCCTTGCCCTGTGGCAGACATGTGTAAATTTACGAGAGCCCGCCCTGAGGAGCCTGGCCAGTTCCTTGTTCGTGCATCTGGCAACCCTTTGACTCGTTACCAGTTCACAGGAGTGCTGCGTAAAGTGAGGTTGTGTGGTGAAGGACCTCGAAATTGAAGTTGGTAGGCCTGTTCTTTTCAGACCTGATGGCGTGCATCTTTCCAACCCTGTGAGCGAGCTCTTGTTGTGTGACATCAGGCATGGCCTGATGGAGTGGTTGGAGGTAAGTTGAATGGTTTTCCGGATATAGGTGGTCTTGGCAGCAAGACTGCAAGTTTGTGGTCTCGGGTGGCGGTTATGGCCTTGGGTGGAATCCTTTAGTCTTTTCTTCCCTATACAGTGGTGCCCCGCAAGACGAATGCCTCGCAAGACGGAAAACCCGCTAGACGAAAGGGTTTTCCGTTTTGGAGGTGCTTCGCAAAACGAATTTCCTATGTGCTTGCTTCGCAAGACGAAAATGTCTTGTGAGTTCCTGCGGGGGTTTTTTCCTCCCCCTTTTCCCAAGCCGCTAAACCGCTTATCAGCTGATGGCTAAGCCGCTAACAGCTGATTGCTAAGCCGCTTATCAGCTGATCGTTAAGCCGCTTATCAGCTGATCTTTAAGCCGCTTAACAGCTGATCGCTAAGCCGCTTATCAGCTGATCCGCTAAGCCCGCTAAGCCGCTAATACTGTAGCGCTAATCCGCTAAACCGCTAATGGGCTTGCTTCGCAAGACGAAAAAACCCGCAAGACAAAGAGACTCGCGGAACGGATTCTTTTCGTCTTGTGAGGCACCACTGTATGGTGGGGGGCAGGGCGTGAAGTGGTGACTCACCCCTTTGTGGCGGCGATTCCAGGGTCCCCCTCTTAAAGGGGTTATATATATGGGTGTCACTGGCCATACACCGAAAGGTCATCCGTGAACTACCCTGTATGCAGGGATATGGGCTTGGCTGCCCTGCTACACTTACATCTCGCAGAGCACCCCCATATCCCATTTACTCTGATGAGCCCCAGTTCCCCCCAGCTGGGGGGCTGGGAGGGATACACGCCCAAGGCCTAAGCCAAGGTCTTCCTACATTCGGAAGTTTAATAAACTTGTGGCCTAATATTAATTCCACATAATGTTGTCAGTCTTTATTCCTTCCTTATGATCCCTGGGGGCTGGGGCTGTTGCTGCCTGGTCACACAATGCATATACTACACTGGCTCCGGCCTGGTGGAACGCTCTGTCTCATGAGATCAGGGCCCTGCAGGACCTGATTTCTTTCCACAGGGCCTGTAAGACAGAGTTGTTCCACCTGGCCTTTGGCTTGGAATCATCTTGATCCCCTCCCCCTCTTTCTCTCTCCCCCCCCTCCTTCTGTGATGGAACTCCTATTTGGGGACTTCCCTGGCTTTTTTCTGGCCCATGTAGGACCAGTCTGGATAGTTAGCCTTGGTGAACACTTGACGTTTTCATTCCCAAAAAAGTCTTTGATTTGAGTTTCTACTGAAATGAGGCTGCAGTTTAATGTTGTATTTTAATCTTGTTTTTTAAGTTGTATTTTAATCAATTGTTTTTATACCTGGTGTTAGCCACTGTGAGCCCGGTATTGGCCTGGGAGGGCAGGGTATAAATAAATTATTTTATTATTATTATTATTATTATTATTATTATTATTATTATTATTACTACTACTACTAAGGTAATCAGTGCACAAAATGCATATATTTCTGAAAATAACATGCAGAAATGAATTATATTGGGGAAAATGACTTGCAAAAATGGATATATTAGGCAAATACATACAAAAGTGTGTATGTTAGGGAAATTAGCACTCAAACGATATTTTTTTTGTTTTTTTGGCTGGGGGGTGGGTGGGTATTGCAAACCGGTGTGGAAATCAGCAGAACTGAACATAAAATTGGGAAAATGAGAAACCGAAATTAATGGATTTGCTCATCCCTAGTGATGTCTGCAACTCTTCACCATGGCAAAGTGGGAGAAGAGAACCTAGGGGTGGGGCATGTTGGAAAGAAAGGTCAGGGTTACATTTAACTTTTTTGCTCCTTTTCAAAGGATTGGCAAAATGATGGCTGCGGAAAACCTCCTCCTGACTCCTTCAAAATCTTACTACGTCTTCAACCTGCACAGTTTCTCCCGGGTCGTGAAAGGAATGTTGCTCTGCCCACAAACCCATTTGCAGGTGTGAAAGCAACACTTGATTTTATTTCATCAACAAATGAAACGGATTTGTAAAAATGTTACATGAAAAAAAAAATACGAGGCACTACACTTCTGTAAAACAAGAAAATCCTTAATAAAATATTAAAAAAAAAAAAATAGGGGCACCATCATCACCATAAAATTTAGCTTCTTGGGATTGTGGCTGCGAAGCCTGAGCTGGAATAGAAGAACAAGCTGATTGTAGAAAGTGCAGCAAACAAGAAACGGCTGGAGGAAATTGAAGACGTAATCCTGGAAGTTCTTTCCAAGTCAGAAGGAAATATCTAAGAAGATGAAACAGCTATTAAAATCATCTCTTCCTCCAAAGAGTTGTCTGAAGAAATCTCTGAAAAGCAAGAAATTACCACTATTACTGAAATGGAAATAGATACCACCTGAATTGGGGTACAAGCCAGTGGCCATTCATTTAGCAATAGTCGTCTTCTGCGTGTCTGATCTGGCTGACATGGAACCAGTGTATCAATATTCCCTGATATGGTTTATTAACTGCTATGTCCAGTCTCTTGCCAATAGCAGGAAAAGCGACGTTTTGGAAGAAAGGATTGACTTCATAATTGAACATTTCACAATCAGCATCTACAATGACTGCCGATCCCCGTTTGAGAAGGTCAAACTTCTTTTCTCCTTCCTTCTGGCTATGGGGATCATGAAAGGGAGAGATAAGATTGATGCTGAGGTCTGGTGTTTCCTACTGACGGGTGAGGTTGTGCTCAAGAACCCGGATGCGAATCCTGACCCAGAGTGGTTGTCTGACAAATCATGGGCTGAAATTGTGCATTCCTCAGGGCTGAAACACTTGCATGGGCTGTTGCATCATGTGGAGTCCAATGTTGTGGAGTGGAAAATGATTTATGGTTCTGCCAAACCTCATGAAGAAGAGTTTCCTGGTGAATGGAATCTGGTCACAGGTCTTGACCGCATGGTCATCCTCTGATTCCTGAGACAAGATAAAATCATCCCAGCCACCCAACTCTTCATCGCAGACAATATCGAACCCCCACCTCTGATTTTTGTTCTGTTGCCAGGTGCTGATCCCATGGCAGGTGAGGTTTCTTAAATACCCAACATGAAATCCTTCTTTTATGATACTGCCTTTCCAGTTGAACAAGGCTATAATCTGCATCTTTCACTACCCACGCCCTGAGAAGCAGCTCAAACTCTGACCCAGAGGAGTGCACAGCCAGATTTTTTTTTTAAAAATTGGCTGTGCAAGCTGTTGTGGTGGTGGTGGTGGTGTTGGTATTTGATACCCTGCTTTATCACTACCCTAAGGATTCTTAAAGCAGCAATCTATCTCCTTTCCGTTCCTCCCCACAACAAACACTGTGAGGTGAGTGAGGCTGAGCGACTTCAGAGAAGTGTGACTAGCCCAAGGTCACCCAGCAGTTGCATGTGGAGGAGCAGGGAAGCAAACCCGGTTCACCAGATCACGAGTCCACTGCTCTTAACCACTACACCACACTGGCTCTCAATGAGGTGCTGGACCCAGACCTGGGTCCCCCATTCTAAACTCGAGCCAGAGATTCCATGTCCAGTGGCAGTAATGCTTCTCAATGCCAGTTGCTGGAAACCGCAGAAGGCAACAGTGCTGCTGTGTTCAAGACTTACTTGCAAGTTGCCCACAGGCATCTGGTTGAGCATTATGAGAGCAGGATTCGGGACTAGATGGGCCATTGGTTCTTATTATGCTCTTATGAGACTCCCAAACTGGGATCCCCAGAAACAGCATCTCCGGGGTCAGATTCATCTGTAGGTCCAACCTTCCCTTGTGCCCCAGGGCCTGTTTTCCAGCACACAAAATGCAGCCAAGGGAACTCAGCAGAGAAAGACCACAGTTCATGGTACCCTTTTCATGGAGAGGTTCACAGGTTCAGTTGCTGGCATCTCCAAGTAAGGCTGGGAGAGAAATCTGCCTTAAGCCATGGAGAGCTGTTGCCAGTCCGTGTTACCCTAACTGGGCTAGATGAACCCATGTTCTGACTCTGTATAAATAAGGTAGCTTCCTACTGACATTCCTTAATTTATCTGTATGTTGTGTGCAGAAGTCTTTGTAACAGCAGCTTGCCTGAAAGTCCTCAAAAAAGCACTTTAATAATAATAATAATTTTCTTTGTACCCCACCCATTTGACTGTGTGGCACCATGAGCAGCTTCCAACATAATAAAACATCGCATATTAGAAAGCTTCTCTTTACATGGCTGCCTTCAGATGTCTTCTAAAGGTGACAGTTACTTTAAATGAGAAGATTCGGTTTGGGTTTCTTGAATAGCGTTCCTGACACTAAAACCCTGCACATTTATTAAAACAATTTGTATTTAAATATTTGACCCTAGTCTTGATGATCTCAGCATGGAAAGCATCCAGACTACTTCACTTGGCCAGGGCCAAGGAACAATCGCAGCAAAGATGATTAATCAGGCTATCGTGGATGGGACTTGGGTTGTGCTGCAGAACTGCCATCTCTCAACCAGCTGGATGTCTGCTTCAGGAAAAAAATGGTGAAGAGGTCATAGTACCTGAGAGTACTCATGACAAGTTCAGGCAAGAATTCAGTATCTATTAATCAGTCTACATGAACGCTGTACAAATCCTGTTTCCTGGGCTCCAGACATCCCCTTATGCTGATCAGGAAAGGGGTGCAATGAAAGTTCTGATCCCCTGGGGCTCTGGGGTCACAGAGAAAGTGGCAGCAGGCTTTTTTTTTTTTTAAAGGCAATATTAGGTAAATATCTCTTCCCAAGTGTGGTCATGTCAGATAATATCACAGTGAACAGCAGGGTCATGCAGGTAAGGTCAGGCTCCTTAGCATGGGCCTCAATTTAGCAGTATCAAGTTCAGGGCCAAGGTCTAATATACAGGTTAGTATATAAAGCCTTTAACAGCTTGTCCCTAGTTTACTTGTGAGATTTCCTTATCCTATATATGCCCATGCAACTGCTTTGATCTGTGGAACTGGCACTGTTACAAGTGCCACATCATACTTGATCCGCATTTGTAAGAAATTGATATTTTCAGTTGGAACTCCAAAGCAGGTACCTTCATTCTACTCTTTTTGGTGCCTGCTAAAAACATCCATAAATGTAGCATCTTGACATACATTTTAATTTGCTCCCTGCCCATCAATCTTATTTATTTTTTCAATGTTTTCAATAGTTGTTTCCTTTTTTTAAGATGATTTTATGGTTTTACTCTTTTTGTAAGCTGCTTTGAGCTTTTCTTGCAATCAAGTGGTGTATAGATCTTGTGAAATAAATAAAAATAAAAATACACCCAGATGTAGGCAAGCCCTATCAGGACCATGGACAGGTCCTGGACCTCCAGTGGCTGCAGTTTTCTCTTGATTGTGGTTAATGGGTGGATGTTGTCTCAGCAAAGAGGTTGAGGTTGGCAAACCCTGTCCTGTAATTAGCCCTGCCTTTGCAGAGGAGCTGGCTGTGTTTTTTAAAGGGCTATTGTCCAGTTCCATAAATGCTAACATCTACAAGGCTGAAAGATGAAATGCTACTGGGGACTCACCCTAAGGGTTTGAGTCACAAACCCCACCTGTGCCCACTCACAAAGGGCCATCAAAAACCCCACTTGAGCCCTCTCACAAAGCACCATCACAAACCCCACCTCAGCCCACTCACAAAGGGCCATCACAAACCCCACCTCAGCCCACTCACAAAGGGCCATCACAAACCCCACCTCAGCCCTCTCACAAAGCACCATCACAAACCCCACCTCAGCCCACTCACAAAGGGCCAGTTCAGCCTTCTTTGGAATTTCTTCCCCATCATTGCAGAGTCATGGCTAAGACATCCCCCATCCATCTCACTCTTTCCATGATGACACTGCATATTGCTTTGCTTGATAAGCATCCTGTGAGCTTCATCTTCCCGCTCGCCCACCTCCACCTTGTTGCGCCCTAAGACAGAGGGAGCAACTGCATTAGTTCTCCCATCTCATTTGGGCCCTAGAAAGATATGGAAATGTCATGGAGGAAGCCCATGTTGAGCCGCGTCCAGCTTAAACTGCAGAGCACACTGGTATGTGCATGGAAAGAAATGAACTGGGGAAACTTAAAACTGTAGTAAAGCACATGTGCTGCTGTTCTGGAATTTTTGTTCTGGAATTATTCTACTTCACCCAGAATTCAGGAAGAGTGGGATGTAGGAATGCTCTGGCACAAACCAGAAGAACAGCTGTACATAGCATTGGCACTTTCTTAGTGGCAAGCAATGCACTAATCCAACAAACCTATAAAATGGAAAGTTGTAATAGGTGAAGTCATCTGGCCTCCCTAGGCTAACCATTTCTCTTCACCTGTCACCTATTTCCATATGAAATGCGTCTTGCACTGAAGTCCATAGGGGTATCTTCACCTACAGCATAGGTTTATATCTACTCCAGATTCTCAATATAGTGCATCTAACAAAATGGTTTTGAAAGTCCATATTCACTTTGACCTTGTCATACTGCTGATTTCCATGTCACCCAAACCTTAAATCATGACTCTCTAATTCCAAAATCCCCCTATTTCTTAGGATCACTCACTCCTTCATCCACGCTAAGCAATAGGTGGCAAAATACAATTTCTAATCAGGCAGTTCCAATCCTCCCCTTTGCTTTACATCTTGCAGTACTTTCATTTTAACTTGTGGTTTTTTTCATTGCCATAACACTTAGATAAACCCCTTTTGCCATTCTTTAAATAGTGAATCAGTCGCAAGAGGTATTATTTGAAATAAAAATATCATTCTAGGCAAAACATTCATTTTTATCACTGAAATTTGGCCTAGCAATGACAATTTTTACTTTTCCCATCTTGGCATAATAATCCAAGACAGGGGTGCCAGATTACATCACAATCCAATGTTAAGTTTATATTGGGGTTATCTGGTGCACAGAGGGCATTTCAGCAAATGAGCTGCAAATAGGTAAGTTGTTAGGTGAACAGCCTAGGCGGGAAAGTGTTCTGGGATTTAAAAGCTGTCTAAAAACAATATTCATCTGCTTTTCTTTTTTCATAGATTACGATGTCGATTTTCTGGATAATTCTCTTGGTGTCAATTTCTGGCACCAGGCATGCTGAGGTAAGAAAAAAATGTGACTAGGGTAGGGCTTGCCGATACGAAGGTCTGCAGTTTGAATCCCCGTGACGGGGTGAGCTCCCGTTGCTTGGTCCCTGCTCCTGCCAACCTAGCAGTTCAAAAGCATGTCTAAGTGCAAGTAGATAAATAGGTACCGCTCTGGTGGGAGGGTAAACGGCGTTTCTGTATGCTGCTCTGGTTTGCCAGAAGCGGCTTAGTCATGCTGGCCACGTGCCCGGAAGCTGGACGCCAGCTCCCTCAGCCAGTAAAGCGAGTTGAGCGCCACAACCCCAGAGTCGTCCGCGACTGGACCTAACAGTCAGGGGTCCCTTTACCCTTTACCTTTAAAGGTAAAACATTTGCATTTATTGCTAAAAATGTCTAAAAACGCCCCCCCCCCCTTTCACTGGCAGAGGAAGAAGAGCACACCACCCCAGGCAGCATGATCCTGGCAGGGTGCCATTGCAGCTGCCCCGCGCTGGGCACCCCGCCCCCACAGGCAGCGCTTCCCGCCCCCAGGACGCACGCCCCGCCCCGCCTTCTCTCTGCCCCCCGTTGCCGGAGCATGAAGCTCCTCCATTGCCCCTTTTGTGGGGTCACAAGAGAGTGAGTGTGATGCAGTTAGCGTGTTAGGCCGGGGGAGACCAGGGCTATCAAATCCCTACTGAGAATATATTTGATGTCATTACAGGAGGAGTGCGAGAGCGACCTGGTGGAGCGAATGCCCGCCCTGGAAGGTCCGTTTTTGGCTCTCCAGACCGTGAAGGTGACAAATACCTCATTTGTGAACTGCATAAACGATCCACCAGGACCTGTCAGGTTGGGCATGGAAAACGTGAAAAAAAAGCCAAAAAGGAAACATGATTCAACTGGAAGCGGTAATTTATTTTTTTAATCCTCTATTGGGAGGGCTTGTCATGTGTTTCTTTGTTGATACTGAGCATTTTCATCGTATCTGTCAAGGCTGCCTCAAGTCTTAGCTCACAAAAGACCAACGCCTACGTCTTCTTGAATACAAAGGTGTTTATTGCAGTTCATGGTTTGCTTGACATCCTAGGCGCGCAGCCTTACGTCTCTTACGCTAGACCGCCGAAGTCCCCTCTGAGTCAGTACCTCCTCTGCACCAATTTAAGAGACTTGCGCTGCTCCACCTCTTTCTCTCCTTCCTTTTCCGCAGGGTCTTTCTGCCCCCTGGGGTTGCGCCCCTTCTGGATTCCTCTGACGCTGAATCCCCAGACTGCTCTTCCCCCCTCCTGCGGGCTTTGGGACCTGGCCCCTCCTCCGGGCTCCCTGCACTTCCGCACGCCTCTACATTTGAACTAGGCGCGCGCGCCAAACCTCTAACTTTCCTTTTGACAGTTACACTACTCCCTTCACTGCTCCCCTCCCCTTCCGGGAGGGCGGCTTGCTCTGACCCCCTCCTTTCTCTGCTGCTGGAGCTGCTTCCTCTGACACACTGGAAACTCCACCCCCTTCGCTGCACTTTGGTGGGGAGGCTGGTCCTGACGCCCAGCTGCCACTTTGGGATCCTCCGCTGGCACCCTGCTCCTGACATTTCCCCCCTGGGGCTCCCCTGGCCCTGACCACCGGTGCCCCCTTCTGGGAATCCTCTGATTCGCTGGAAAGACTCATGGAATCCCTTGAGTCATTGTCATCCTCTTCCTCGCTGGCTTGGAATTCCTCCCCCTCGCTCTCCATCTCCTGCCTACCCTGTGCCTCTCTCTCTGAACCCCTGACAGTATCACTTTATATTATATATTCAGACATTCAACCAGTAGGCTTTAGTCCATTAGGGCAAGTGGGGAACTGCCCTAAAAAGCTAAGCCTCTGTTAGTCAGCCCCCATCTGCTCCTGTTCCTCCTTAGACCCAGTGTTGCTGTTATGGAACTCAGCAGCAAGGAGGGTGAGGACAAAACCAGAATTAGTTCACTCTGCCTGTCATTGGCTCTAATTCCCCACTACTGTTGACTCTCCCGTATTCTGCCCTACAAGTCCAATGGGCATCAGCCTTCCCCCTGCATTCAATGCAATAAAATGAACCATAGATGCAAGTGTCATTTTATGACCTTATCCATTTCCTTTGGCTTAGGAATCACCTGGATGCTCCAAAAACTATTACAGGGGAAAGAACAGGAAGGTTGAAAATCTTCCAGATTTTTAAAATGAGATATTTATATTTTGAAAACATTTTAATATATATGTATTTATTTGAAATTTCAGGTAGTTCCAAAATGGTAGTGAGGCACCTGAAATTCCTCGACTCCTTGAAGACTTCTGACAAAGAGAATTTCCTCCCAGCTGTGATGAAGAGAAGTAGAGAGAAGTTGTGGACTTTCAGCCAGGTGGACTTTCACCCAGCTTTCATAGAGCCAGCTGTATCATCTGCCTGCAAAGGCTTGTGCCAAGGAGTTGGATCCATGGAAGCGTACGACCGGGTGGCAAAGGTGGTGGCCCCAAAACATCAAGAACTCAGGAAAGAGGAAGGGTTGCTCAGTCTACTGAGGCAGAAGCTCAATACGGACAGAGACGAACTAAAGAAAGTAATTGACCGTCTCCGGGACCTAAACGATGAACTTGAATCACTTACTAAACGGAAAAAAGAACTTGAAAAGAGGATTGAGGAATGCGCTCTGAAGCTGGAAAGGGCTGGAAAGATGAGCTTGGGAGGAAAGGAGGATAGGGGCACGGAAGCAGCAAGCTATAATCTTTCCATTATCAAGGTGTCTGACTCCACTTACGTAAGGACCTTGGAGAACGCCATCCAGTTTGGAACCCTAGTCTTGCTTGAAAATATGGGCGAGGAAGCGTTGGGTGACCTCTCAGAGCCAGTGCTGCTAATGGCAACTTTCAAACAACAGGGTGTAGAGTACAGGAGACTGAGTGAGAACGTTCTTGAGTACTCAAGCAATCTCAAGTTTTTACTCAATGGATTTCGAGTGGAATACTACTTGGAGGAGTCTGACCATGTCACCAAGGAGCCCATGTCTCTGGTTATGTGGAAACAGGTAGATTTTATGGAAATTTGTATCTGTTTTCATTATCTGCCATATCTGTTGCAAGCTCAGTATTATGAACAGAGACTGAGAGAGAACGTTACTGAGTACTCAAGAAATTTCAAATTTTTACTCAATGGATTTCAAGTGGAATACTACTTGGAGGAGTCTGACCACGTCACCAAGCAGCCCATGTCTCTGGTTATGTTGAAACAGGTAGATTTTATGGAAATTTGTATCTGTTTTCATTATCTGCCATATCTGTTGCAAGCTCAGTATTATGAACAAAGACTGAGAGAGAACGTTATTGAGTACTCAAGCAATTTCAAGTTTTTACACAATGGATTTCAAGTGGAATACTACTTGGAGGAGTCTGACCACGTCACCAAGGAGCCCATGTCCCTGGTTATGTTGAAACAGGTAGATTTTATGGAAATTTGTATCTGTTTTCATTATCTGCCATATCTGTTGCAAGCTCAGTATTATGAACAGAGACTGAGAGAGAACTTTTC